TGGTGTTGTGATTATCCTATTTGTCGTTTCTTCCCCCCCCCTTTTTTTTGTAGTTGTAGATAGACTACATGCCTTTATTTTATTTGTTTATTTTTATATGATGCTAAGGATCGAACCCAGTGCCTCACACATGCTAAGCAAGCGCTCTACCACTGAGCCCCAGCCCCAGCCCCCTATTTGTCACTTCTCCTGTGAGTACTCATATTTTTTTTTCTTCAGGTAGGTCTGTTATGACATACTTATATAACAATTCATAAGCAATGTGAAATTACTTACTGTATCACAAAATATAGCATTTGTCATTATTATAGAAAAACACGACAGACAATTCAAGCACTCAAGAAAATTACCTCATGTAATTAAAGTTCTCTGAATAATTCTTATTTTCCTAATTCAGTGCAGAATAGAATCTGACAATGCTTTAGAACACAGCTTGTCAAATATTTTCTGTACAGGGTGACAGAGCAAATATTTTTAGGCTGTATTGGCCATACAACCTCTGTTACAAATACTCAGCTCTACTGCTGAAATGCAAAGCAGTGGCTGACAATATGTAAATGAAGGAGCATGGCTGGGTTCCAATAAAACTTTATTTTTTGCAATACTAGGATTGAACCCAGGGCTTTGAGCATATTAGGCAAGTGTTCTACCACAGAGATACATCTTCAGCCCTCTAATAAAACTTTAAGGACAAATTCAGTGTATTTCATATAATTTTTATGTGTCACAAATAGAACTTTTTTTTTTTTGTGAGGCCCAGCAAAGTGATCTACCACTAAGCTACAACTCCAGCCCTATCCTTTTGATTCTTTCCCCCAATAATTTATAAGTGATTTTTCATGATCGTGGCCCACGCAAAACAGGCAGGGGGTTGACCTTGGCTGGGGAGCTACAATGTGCCAACTTCTGATTTAGAATACAATTGTTCTGACATTTCTCCATAAGGAAACTGAATAGAACTATCCTACCCATTTTGCACAGTAGAGTATTAGAACCCAGAGACATTAGATTGCATTTAGTTTAACTCCTCCCTTCTCCTTGGTTCCATTTGATAGACAAGGAGGATTCAGGACAGAGGAGAAATGTCTGGCTTCCAGCCACCAGCTAGGGTGGAGCTCAAGGCTCTCAATTAAAGCCCTACCTATCTTCCTCTACTCAATTCCAAATCGAATTTTAAAACTGCCTCCACAGCCACAAAATCTGCTGCTACATTTTCAGCAGTGATTAATCTCTTTTCACCCTAAAGGTACTTATTTTAATAACACCTTACAATTAAGAACTCAATAAGCTTGAGTCTTGATATTTAATTTGTATCATTAAAACCTATATGATTGCAATTAACAGTTGAAAATTACATCATAAATTAGAGAGACATTTTAATTAGTGAAGTGACATCATATTTGTGGGGAAGTTACACATGGAATGAAAATTGGTTAAAATAACATTAAGGCATCCAAGTTCCAAAGAGCCTGTGGAAGAGTTCCAAAGTAAACTTTATTCCAGAATCCTAAGGACAAAGGGAGTGGCCTTTCAGTTCTAACCGGAAGGGGAATTGTTCCTGTGGATTAAGCTGAGACCAATGGGGTGTCCAGGATGGGGTGAATCAGAAGTCAGCACTCACTGTAGTGAACCCACCTGTTCACAGTGACATGCTGCACTAGTCTGGAATCTAAGTTCCATGAAGCTATCTGTGTTTTTCTTGTCACTACTTTGCCTTGTAGATCAGAGCCTGGAACATACTGGTGCTCAGTTAATGATGGTCGAATGATCAAAATCCGTCCATCAGGGGTATGTCCTATATAAGCTGACCTCTGAATTTTTTAGGTACCTATTCTAGCAGCTTTTGAGCCCATTCTTTGAAAAAAAAATTAAGGTTTTTTTTCTCCCTCCACCAGGACTCCTGCCTGAGGGAGGTCACCTTCACCCTCTGGATGATTGCATTCTCTTCAGTCCATCCTTGGCCTGTCACTTGGCTTTGGAGTCACTGTACATTCTGGGTGTAATGAACACCTTGAACATTCTGCCTTCTAAACTATTGAAAATTCAAAGAGGGCAAACAATGTTTATAAAAATTTCAGGAGTGTTTAAAATGGCGACATTTAAAAAAGTTCATAAGGAATAAGAAATTCCGAGAATAATTTATTACCTACACATACAACTTTCTTTGGAAGTTCCCATTCTCATCAAACATTAAACAAGCCATCCCACTATCTTTTATTTTCTCCATTTTACAGATAGTGATTCAGAGGAAGTTAAATGGCTAGTTGCCAGTGTCACTTGGACAATATAAATCTAAATAATTTACTATTTCATCCTTCTTTGCTGCCGTTTGTTAGACTGAAATTGAGGGAGGTTTGATGAGGATTTCGACCTGCTTCTTTGGTGACCATATATTTGCTGCTCTTTGCTTCCCCCTATTGATAGGAGAAGGGAAGAGCAGATGGCAAGACTAATTGCTCAAATCAAATTTTAAAAAACTGCCTGAGGACCAGCAGTATCACAATCGCCTGGGAACTTGTAAGACATCCAAATTACGGGACCCATCTCACAACACTGAACTAGAAACCCTTGGGGTGGACTCAGCAATCTCTGTTTCAACATAGCTCCAGGTGATTCTGCTGTAAATTGAAATTACTTTTCTGCTTAAGGTACTAATGTCTTGGCCTTTAATCACAAAAATGATAAAGCCTTTCTGCACTGCTTCTGTCCCTAGGCCTCACACAGAGTATATACACTACTGGGCCATACACAAAGCACTTTTATTCCTGCAGATGGATTTTCAGCAGCTCTGAAGTCAGGTAGAAACTTCATACTCACTTTACGGATGAGGAGACTGAGAAAGGGAAGGCTCAAGCAAGGTCAAATAACACATTTGGATTTACTCAGCTTTGAGTGGTAGGGCTGGGTTAAAATTCAAATTGTCTTTTTTATATCTACACCCAGGACTACTTCAGTTACTCTATAGCATATTTTCTGGTGCCAGATAATTCTTCATTGGGGGGACTGCCCTATGGATGGATATTTAAAAGCATCTCTGGCCTCTACCCACTAGATGCCAGTAGCACCCCGCCCCAGTTGTAACAACTACAAATATCTCTAAACATTGCCAATGTCCCCTGGCAAGGGAAAAAATCATCCCTGGTTGACAGCCATTGCCCTACAGTCATTACACAAATGAGCAGAACTCTCACAATTCCTGCTGACCAATTTTTGCATACTTTGGAGGTGATTTCTGAAAAAAAAAAAGTTCAGGAATCCAAGAGAACTAGGCTAAACGTTGGTCTCCACAATACCTTTACTATCTTTTAAGAAAATTAACATTAATTCTGTAATACCATATGGCATCCAGGGTGCATTCAAATCTCTCCAGTTATCCCCCAAATCTTTCAGAGCTGCTTCCCCCGCACCCAAGCCAGGATCCAATCTAGATTCTCAGATTGCACTTGGCTGCTGTCTATTTAGGCTCTGTTAGTGCAGAACAGGCAAACCATGTCCATGGACTGAAGCTGGTGTACCACCTTTTTTCACAAATAGGTTTTTGCTGGAACTCAATTATGCAATATCTCTGGCTGTTTTCATAATACAATGGTAGAGTTGAGTAACTGTGACAGAGACTGAATAGACCACAAAGCCGCTAGCTTGACCTTTATAGGAAAAGTTTGCCAAACTGTGACATAGCATTCTATTTTCTGTCTTTATTTTTAATATTTTACTGACTATTCAGAATCCACAAAAATTGCTTATAGAAAGTCTCTTTTTAATTATTATTATTATTATTAATTTTTGCAGTGCTGGGTATCTGACCCAGGGCCTCGTGCATGCTTTGCAAGCACTCTATCATTGAGCTATACTCCAGCCCTGATCTCTTATTTTAGATTGGTTGTTTAAATCCATGTATATATTAAAACTTTAAATTGAGGGCTGGAGTTGTGACTCGGTGGTAAAGTGAGACATTGGCTTCGATTCTCAGCACCACATATAAATGAATAAATAAAATAAAGGTCCAATGACAACTAAAATGTTTTTTAAAAACCTTTTAATTGAAATTTAATATATATACATATATATTAGAAAATATGAGATTAAATTAGTAATGCTTTGGGGTGATGATAGAGAGAGTTTTATCTGTCAAAAACTATAAATGAAATTGAAAGGCAAATAATACATTAGAAAAATAATTACAATACCAAGGCCTTGTCTCTTCCCACAATTTATTTTTCAAGAAAGATAAAATTAATGTTATGTCTAACATATGACAGATAATTTCAGTTACAAATGGAGATTAAATCCTCACTGATCAAGTTTCCATATCATTTAAACAGAGAAACTTGTAGGAAAACTAGAAGTCTCCTTTGAAAATCATAACATGATTCCAAATATGTGCACAGAAATGTACATACATATGCATATGTGTGTATATATATAAAATTTCTCTAGGTACAGGGTCATGTGCCTAGCACTATATCTGGTATATAGAAAGCACTAAATGTATGTCTGTGGGATAAATGAATGAATAATATTCCTTCCTTCAGCTGGGCGGGCAGGTTGTCATCAAAATACAATACTCACATCTATTTATTATATTATTATTATTTTTCTGAGTATAACAAGCATGTACATCATATGAAAGTCTTGGACCTTATTTTTCTGTCAGGATCTCATGCATATTCAACAAAATAGAATTCAGTTAGCTTGGAACATAATCTTCAGACTAGGAATACTTTGGTTTTATGCACATAGCTAAATGGAGAGCTAGAAAGTACCCAGCCTCCCCTTCTAGTTAACCTGGGTCAGATTTTAATGAACAGTCTACTCTACAAATAACCTAAGACATTCTATGTAAATCCTAGCAAATAATGAAAGGAAGCGCTGCTAAGTTTTTTACCACTTCTCTAAAGTGTCATTAAGATATAAAAAACCCACCCCCAATCATGATATATATATTTTACAATAATCTTTAGGAAAAAAGAGTTAATAGTCATTCACGCCCATGCACTTACATAGATGGCACTGAGGTGGGCTCTCAGTCAGAAATTAGGCTGAAGATCTAAAGGGTTCCTGGTTGGTTCTTGAGAAGTGGATCCTTCTCCTGGTTTCCCCGGAAAAAGCCCGCCTTTGTGTGGTGGAGGAAACCATGCAGGCCTCTGCCTTTGACCACGTTCCGAGGACGATTTTCTATTGGCTTGTATTCCTTATGTTTTCTGAAAATGATGTGTTGGACAGTGGTTAAATAAAGCTTGTCAGCTAAAATACATTACTTTGTACAATCTTTTTCTTGTCAGGTACAAAAAGGCTAATTCCATTTAATCTAATGTATGACTTGTAACACGATTGGCATTTTATGAAAATAGTCATGACTTGAGATTACATGTTAAACATTACATAGATGTAACATTATGGACATCTGGTAGCACTTGTAGGTTTTTAAAATAAACCACAGCAAAATTAACAGGCCAATTTGTTATTCAAGTTTCCGTGGAAGATTTTTTTCTCATACACAAATGTTTGAAAAGAAAAAGAAAAGGAAATGGCACATTTCTTTTGACAATATAACGTAGAGATTTAAAGTGTTAGAACTCAAAACTTACTTGTACACCAAGATGGCGACCACAGTAACAAATAGGGTCAGGCAGCCAACAGAGATCAGGACACCACTCGCTGTTCCTAAAGGGGAGGCTGGGTCTTAAACAGAAGCAGGACCATATTAGTTACATCTTTCACTTAGAGGACATGCTACTTGTAATGCCATTAAATAAATGAGGAAGGGAGCTATCACGGAAGATGTATGGCTCCCTCTAGGCTCTTGGTAATCTTTTCCATTAAATAATACATAGTCTTTGGGTCAGCTTATCTTCCATTTAGAGAATGAATTATTGTGTCTGGAACACTGTGTTAAGGGCTCAGAGGAAGCGATGTCATGGCCTCGGGACACCTGCTCAAGTCTCTGCTGAGCAGCACCCAGGTGGTGAAGGGCTCCAGTGATCCACTGTTCCTGCCTCTGACCTCATTTCCCACTATCTACCTTCAGGCTGTGTTCAAAATCTGGGAGTTGACCTTACTCCTGACACCCTTTACAACCTCTCATGTCAGGACATGGCTCATCTCAAGTTCCCTCATACACTCTGCCTCCCAGGTGATTCTGAGGCTACTCTGCTTGCCTCTCTTCCTGAGGACTCTATTGCCGTTAATTCTTTACATATATTTCTCTCCTAACGTCAACAAAAGGCGTCAACCAGGCCATGCTTCTAAACTGCCTGTGGCTGCCCCAGCACACAGAATACAACCAGACCCTGACATGAACCCTGAGGATCTACGTGGGCCTTTCCTTGTGATTCGGGTCCCTCTCATAGGAGGCCCTTCACTGAGAAGGTGCCCCTGAGTGGGTAGGACATCTTCTCACCTCCTGATCTAGATAGCCAACCTCTGCCCTCCCCCCTCCATCCTCCATGCTCCTCTCTCTCCATTCCTGGGCTTGGCTTAGTTTTCCTCTTAATAATCTCTTGCTTATTTGTTTGACTATCTTAAATAAGGAAAAGGCTCTTGGCCCGAGGCTGTTCAAGTATTCTTAGTTCCCACTTAACAAAGGGAAGCTTAAAGGGTAAGCCATATCACCAAAATCTAATTTAGGAGAATGTAATCAACTACCCAGTTGTAGCCAATCACAGGCAGCTCTAAAGAACTGCTGGAGCCATTTAGGTGATTTCTCTGCTCAGTGTCCTGGTTGGCCTCTAAAAAAGCTCACTGCTGGGCCTGGGCTATGACTTAGTGCTAGTGTTCTTGCCTAGCTTGCATGAGGCCTTGGGTTCAATCTCCAGCACTGCAAAAAAGCTCACTGTTGACTGGGGTGCCACTGTGCCTGCCTGTGATTCCAGCAAATCAGGAGACTGGGGCAGGAGGACCAGTCTCAACAGCTTTGTGAGACCCTGCCTCAAAATAAAAAAAGTAAAAAGGGCTGGAGATATGGCTTATGATAGAGTGTCCTTATGTTCAATCTCCAATGCTTAATAATAATAAACCGCAGTGCCAAAAAACCAAAACCCTCATGGTGGTGGTGGGGATTCTCTCAAACTTTTCTGACTCTGAGTGTTGCTTAATTCAGTGTTTAAATAAATGGTTAAATGTCATGTTTAAAAAAAATTGTTTTAGTAACGTTTGTCACAGCTAAGAAAATCAGGGACTTTTGTTTTGTCTTGCTCCTGTATCTAGAATTTTATCTTGGGCATAGAACTGTGCTGGGTCTGAAGTAGATGCTTAATGATTATTTGTTGAAATAATTGCAGCTGCTCCATGAATGTTCATCAGATCAATCAATAAAAATAATTTGGGCTAAAAGTCCATAAATTTGCTTTTGAGCCATGATTTATTTCTGATGATCTGATTTTGAAACTCTAATTATCAAGCTGCAATACCCAATGGATTAAAAATTTTCCTCCTGAGCTTCCTTTATTTATTTTCTTTCGGTGCTGGGGATGGAGCCCAGTGCCTCACAAATGCTGGGCATCCCCTGTCCCCTTTACTCTGTTTTTGAAAATGGCTTAAGTCACACCCGGCATGATCTCTCACTATAGGAACAGTGAGAAAAGCTAATATCTAAACATGTAATCCACACAAGAGATCAGCAGTCTGCCAGCACCGAGGAAGGTTAGTAGATTGAGTTATGATTCTAGAGGTAGTTCCAAGGAGCTGTGGTAGCTCTGGAGGGAAAACCTCAGCAGCTCCCAGAGGTGACTGCATTGAAAATCCACAGTCCTGGCTGCTTCGTTGCCTTCCCCAGCTCTTTACCCAGGCTCCAACCCATCCTACCCTGCAGGAAGCAGGACACCCTTGTATCTTTGTTTTTGTTCTTAAATCTGCACCTTGAATCTCACTAACAATAACTCATACTAACTGCCAAGAAGTGTCTGCATAACAACATTTTGGTCAACGATGGACCACATATACAATGGTGGTCCCATGATACACCAATCGAAATGAAAATTTATGTCACCTAGTGACGTTGTAGCCATCATAATGTCATACTGCAGAGCAGTACCTACAGTCTGTGGTGATGCTGGTGCAAACGAAGCTGCTGCCCAGATAGCTATATAAAAGTTAGCACACATGATTATATATAGCACATAATATTTGATAATGATAATGATAATAATTATGTTACTGATATATGTAATCCTATACTTTACTATGCTTTCTGTTGTTATTTTAGAATGTGTGCCTTCTACTTATCAAAAGAAAAAAGTTTACCAAGAATCAATGTTTCATATTATGCTGGAAGCACCTCATCTATCTGGTTAATAATACTACTACTACTACTACTACTAATAATATATTAGTTGTAGATTCTTATTTTTTTATTTTTTAGTTGTAGTTGAACACAATACCTTTATTTTTATTTATTTTTATGTGGTGCTGAGAATAGAACCCAGTGCCTCACACATGCCAGGCAAGCGCTTTACCAGGGACTAGAAGGAAATTCTCCTTCACACTGAGCCACAATCCAGGCCCTCATCTATCTGTTTTAACCACATAGCTTGATGGTATCAAGAGGCCAGTGCAGTGATTGACCTCTGCCATCTAGGTTTGTCAAAAAGCATGGCAGGATGTTTCCACAATGACAAAATTGCCCAATGATGAGTTTCTCAGAATGTGTTCCTTTCATCAAAAGACACATGGTTGTATGTGTATGATTTCTTAGATTTTTCTTTCCAGTGAGGTTAAAGCTGCCCTTTATATGATTAATGAATAAAGATATAAGTACATTTTAGTTTATCCAAAGGAGTTGCAAGTCATTAGATTGTACCTGAAAATACTCAAATTAAGGAGTAAAATTAGTGCACTGTGTACACATTACTCTTTCCTGTCCCTTCCACCAAAGAGCACTTCTCCTAAGACATAAAGAAGTCAGGGGGCTGGGGATGTGGCTCAAGCTGTAGCGCGCTTGCCTGGCATGCACGGGGCGCTGGGTTTGATCCTCAGCACCACATAAAATAAAATAAAGATGTTGTGTCCACCGAAAACTAAAAAATAAATATTAAAAATTCTTTCTCTCTCTTCTCTCTCTCTCTCTCTCAAAAAAAAAAAGAAGTCAGACCACAAAGTCAGCTCCAACTGAGATTCAGTTAGGGCCACTAGGTAGAGTATTAGTTTGGGGACTGGAGGAAATAGGGTACCACCAGTAAGTGCAAATTTCTAATGAAACTGTTTTTCTTTTTAAATATTTTTTAGTTGTCAATGGATATTTATTTTATTTTTTTATATGCGATGCTAAGAATGGAACCCAGTGTCTCACACATACTAGGCAAGCGCTCTACCACTGAGCTACCACTCCTGCCCCATCTACTGTAATTCTTTAGTCTATTTTGTTGACATTTTACCTCTTCAAGAATGAGGAGGGCCAAGAGTAGTTTTTCTGGCAAACATCTCAGGGGCAGGCGAGTTGGTGTGTTACTGTCAGTGTAATGCTTGGTAGATTGGGGGAAGGGAAAGAAAGGACACATGCCAAGTGAGAAGGGAGTTGGGGTTCCACTGGGTTTCTTGTTCTCTTAGTTTCATATCTACCCAGTTGACCCTCATGGAAATGTGACTTCAGCCTCTCTTTTCTTATCATTCCACTGGAGAGCATTGTTACTTTTTGATCCTGGCCTTTACATTTTCCTCTTGAAATACAAATCTATCAAGCATGCAGTGATCATATTCCATTATTACTCATCCATGGTCAACAGCTGATTTTTTTTCATCAAAAGGCTTTTCTTTGGCCAGTATTTCATAGAGTCTCTCTTTCTCTCATCACTTTCCTAAGTAGATTTGTGGTTCTATTTTAATGCCAGTTCTCAATCCTTATTAACCAGAGCTCAATAAATTTTGCACTGAAATAAAATTAAACATTGTCAGCAAAGCCCTCAATGGCTTTACTATTGGACACTTTACTTACAATGTGAAATGCTCATAGAACCCTTACACACACCTCACCTTTGCCAGGGATGGAGATTAAGGTGCTTGTGAGGGCCAGACTTGTGTCATCACCCAGAGTGAAGTTTACACAGTATGTCCCGGACCCACTGAAGGCTCTTCTCACAGTCAACAGGCAGGTTTCCTCCGCATCCACGGGGCTACAGATTATGTTCTGGGCAATTTGGCAGGTGGGGTCAGAAATGACAGTACAGACCTCGGTAGGGATGCTGTGACATGGGAGGGGTTGGGGAGGACACACAGATCACAGAGGGTGGAGAGAGGAATGTAATGTCAGTTTTTCATAGAGAATAAAAAAAAGCATTATCTTTCTATAAAATTGAACCCCATCTTGTTCTTACCCAAATCGTCTGATGTTGAATTGTCATGCCTGGTTTACTCTTGAATAAACCTGGGGAATTTGCTACCATTTCCTCTGCATTCTCAGGACAGAGGAGGAAGAGATGACGTCTCCCAAGGCAAGGGACTATGGAAAATATGTGAAGCCCTATTCATTCCCTCTGCATTCTGGCTCCATGGAAAGTCTAAAGGTGCCCATGGCTTAGGTGTTAGGCAAAGATATTATTAGATGTTGGAGTGGGCCCTGTCTTGGTCCAGTAAAATACCATGCAGGATTTGCTATGTGCACGTAGCTGGGTTTAGATACATGATATGATCTTACTTGTCCCTCTGGGCTCAAGAAGAAAGTAATATTATCTCAGTGCAACAGGTGACAAACCAGTTTAGGGAGGGGAAATAACTAGTCCAAGGTCATACAAACAGTTCATTCTACTCATCTCCCCAAGCCAGAGACCTTCTTAGTTATATTCCTTCCTACCAAATGAGGTCACATCTTTATACTATTCCATTCTCTTGATTACTTTCTATATTTAGAAACATCCATATTTTTATTAGCTAAGTTATATATATGTAAATTAGTTGATTTGTCAAGATATATTTAATTAATTGATATATTTTGTGCTAATTTATATGTATTTTATTGTATATAGTCATGACCAAATCATAGGAAATCAAATTATGTTAGAAAAAGCTTTGTGAATTGTATAGAGAGGATTATCACATGACAGTTTCACATTGGCTTCCACCCACTGGGAATGGCCCCAGGGAGCTGAAGACCAACCAGCTCTGAGCCAGACCTCTGGCTGCTAGCCCAGCTCTGCTGAGTACCACTGTGGATTTTGTGGCTGAGCTCTGTGATCGCTGTGTACCTCACACACCTCTGGTCAGATGGAGAGACTTGTGATTGTTGTGAGGATTTAATATGAGAAGATGTAAGCACTGAGAACATGAATAAATATTAGTTGCTATAATTATTATTCAACCATTAACAGTTAAAGGTAGTGAGCATTTCTCTACTCTTAACAAACTAAGTATGTGCTTGAGAGCACCTTTTGTGGCACCTCATAATCCTTTCTCATTTGGGTTTCTAATAAATAGGAATTTATTTATTTATTTACTTACTTTTTCAGTACTGAGGATTGAATCCAGGGGTGCTCCCCAATTATCTATCTATCTATCTATCTATCTATCTATCTATCTATCTATGTAATTTTTTTAAAAATAATTTGAGACAGGGTCTTGCTAAATTTCCCAGCCTGACCTTGAATTTGTGATCCTTCTGCCTCAACCTCTGAGATTACAGGTGTGTGACACTGTGCCCAGCAATAAATGGTAGTTTTAAATTAGAGAGAACGATTGGCAGTCCAGGCCTCTGTTCAGACCAGGGTCTTTGTTCTGACCCATCCCTCCAATAGAGACATGTACTTACGTCCCTTTGCAGGTCACAACAAAGTCCATCAGGGAGTTGTCAGGTTTTGGTCTGGGCATCGGGGCATCTGCTATTTGGATGATGTTAACCTCTAGGATTCCCTCTAGCAAAAGAACCACCATACAAAAGCACATCAAAATACAACAAAAAGAAAACAACCACTCTGCTGTATACTGTTTGTGTCCCCTCAACTTCTTATGTTGAAATCCCAGCCAAGGGGGAGGTGTTAGGAGGCAAGGCCAGAGGTAGGTGATGGGATAGTGTCTTTATATAGAGACTCCAAAGAGTTCCCTTGCCCCTTCTTCCATGTAAGGACCCAACAAAAAGATGGCCATCCATGAAGTGGGCCTTCACCAGACACCAAATCTGCCAGTGCTTTGTGATCTTGGACTTCCAGCCTCCAGAACTGTGAGAAATACATAAGCCACTTATGTATGGTACTCTACTATAGAGGCCTGAATGGACTAAGAAACACTCCTTAGTGAGAAGGAATGATGAAAGGAAGAAAGAAAGAAAGAGGAAGGAAGGAAGGAAGGAAGGAAAAAGAAAAGGAAAAATAGAGACAGTCTTCTTGCCAACAGAAACACACCAGATCATAGTTTGGGATGCATGTCCATGAAGCATTTCCAAAGTTACAATGAACTGTTCTTCTGTCCAATCTAGATTCTTATTTCTAGAACCTATTAGAAAGCACAACCTCTCTGGGCAGATGTTTTCGAAAAAGGTGACCCCTGGGCTGATGCAGCCCCACATCTGGTGAGGCCAGCTCCCAGGCAGAGGTGGCTTAGCCCAGGATGCACAGGCTGGACTTTGGTCCCCACCTGTCTACTTTGCTGGATGCCTTGGAAGCAGTATCCAAAGTACACAGTCATGGGTGGCTGGTCATTCCCCCTTTTCACTTAAGAAAGATGACATTGTGAAAAGCAGCCAGAAGAAGAGAGTAGAAGTTGTGGCAACTCTATCTTGGCCCCGCTTCACCCCCTATTTATTCAGATTACTGGGATGCACACGTGGAGTTTAGGTCCAGGGCAGCTCCTTAGCATATGGGCTACACAGGGCTCACTTCCATAGAATGTCTAAGGAAAGCCCAGGTGAGCAGGAGGGAATCTGGAAACTAGGAGAGCATTTGTCATGCACCTGTGGCATCACCTTGGACACAGTGGGGTGTCCCTGATCCCCACCTCTACCCTTCTAGAGAAAGCAAAATGAATGGGTGAGCTTGGTAGACTCTGGCATCCTTCCCCACTGGCCTTCAGCCTTACCTACAATGGTGAGGGTGGCTCTAAAGTGGCCGTATCTGTTAATCTGGCAGTTTCCATTGGGAGTCTCGCTCATCTCCAGGGAGTTGTCACCAGCAGGCACTGGAGTGTTTGAATAATAAGATTTTAAAACATTTGCTAAGAATGTAACAGATGTACATGACAGAAATGAAGATTATTTTTTGATATACATACTTTTATTTGTTCTAATTAGTTATACATGATAGTAGAATGCATTTTGACACATTATATATAAGTGGAATATAACTTCTCATTTGTCTGGTTGTACAAGATGTAGAGTTACACAGGTCCTGCAAACATATATGCACAAGGGGTAATAATGTCTGATTTATTCTACTATCATTCCTACCCCTATTCTCCCTCTCCTTCCTTCACTCTATTCCTATTCTCCCCCCGCCCCTTGTGTATTCTCCCCAGCCCCTTATTGTGAATTAACATCTGTGTACCAGGGAAAACATTCAGCCTTTGGATATAACTGAAAATTTAAACATTTATCTATCTGCTATTTTGAAAAAAAAAATTAAGAATTGCACACATTGATGCAGAAATTTGAACTAAATGTATAAAGATTCATACAGATGTGAGGGCTATAAGGTATTATAATTATTAAATTATGTAAATAAACATAATCCCCAACCCCCTTTCTTGGTAGTGCTGGGGATGGAACCCAGGATTCTTGTCCATGGCAGGCAAGCCCTTTATCACTGAATTATACCCCAAGCCCCAAACACCATCCTATATCTTGTTTAAACACAGGAAGCAAATGAAAAGATGAAACCATATTAAAATGTGTGATACAAGCTGGGCACGGTGGTGCACTCCTGTAATCTCAGCGGCTTGGGAGGCTTGAGGAAGGAGGATCTTGAGTTCAAAGCCAGCCTCAGCAGCAGTAAGGCACTAAGCAACTCAGTGAGACCCTGTCTCTAAAGAAAATAAAAAATAGGACTGGGGATGTGGCTCAGTGGTTTAGTGCACTGAGTTCAATGCCTAATTCCAAAAATAATAATAATAATAATAATAATAATAATAATAATAATAAAAAATCTGTGATATAGGATTACAGTGAAATAAAGCAGGTCATGCTAGATGAAGTCACATTTGAATTTGGGAGGCAAGCATTCTGGGCCGAAATTCTAGCAGCATTCATTTTTAGCTGTTTGAAACCAAGGTCACCTAGCTTAACTTTGCTCTATCTGCTTATATATAAAACAGGAATAAAAATTATACCCTCCCAGGGTCGAACCATGAAACTTAAATGAAATAAGGTATATAAAACCTGCTTCTCATATGGCTGCCCCATAGGAAATATTTAAATATCAGTTCTCTAGTTCTCATAATATGGAAAAAACTACTTTTCTCTCTGTTTGGATGACTCACAGTTCCAAAGGATCCATTTTAAGAATCTTACTGTGATTAAAATTATGGGAAAAAAAGAGAAGAGAATGTAAGACATGAATAAGTGTTGAGTATAATTAGAGCAAAGACTCTAATATCCTACTAGTTATAATTTTAAAGGTGTTGCCACTCTTTGAACAAGATGAAAAGACTAGAAAGGAAATATGGTGCTGAAAATATGCCCCTATCATCTCTTTTTATTGATTTATTTTATTTTTTTGTGGTGCTGGGGTTTGAACCCCTGAACCACATCCTCAGCCTTTCTTTTTAATTACATTTCATTGAAATGCACGAGCCTTGGGGAAGGACATCAAAGCTTCCTAGGAGCCCCTTATCTGGCTTCATGACATGTAAGGATGAAGCCAGTTGGGAGATTTCTCCAGGCCTTCTATGACTATGGGTGACATGACCTGTGACTCTCTTGTGCCTGGAAAGGACTTCTCAGAGCTGTTCTCAGCACATTTCCAGAAACTAGTGCTTCATGACAGTTGGGAAATGCCTGCTGCTTAGTGGATCTTAGAGAGGTCCTGGCACTGCAGTGGATTATCAGGACAGGCTGTTGCAGGCTCTTGGGAATGTCCCTTGAGTTTCACAGTGGTCATTTGGAAGTGACTACAGGATATTCAGTCTCTCCCAAGACTAGGCTGATATGCTTTATAGAAATAGATTTGTTTGTGCAGGACATTTAAGATCACTAGTTCTTCCCCAGAAAACGACAAAATTCCTTCTTCTGAGGTTCTTGGCAGGTAGAATTTAGAGCATAGAACCATGACCTTGTCGTATTTTAAAACAAAACTTCTTTTTAAAAAAGACCAAATAATAAGATTCAGTCATTCTACCTTATGTAGAGAGTTTATAAAATGCACATGGAGTTTTATAGATATTATATCCACAAAGTCAAGGTATGATTAAAGGGTTGATAAAAAGAAATGAACACTTTAAAAGATGGAAAAGAAGGCACATTTTATCCTTAATTCAGTATTTATGTCCCTATTACCCAGAGAATGGTAGAATGGGAGGTAAAGATCTTGATTTTTTTTTTTTTTTGTACCAGGGATTAAACTCAAAGATACTCAACCACTGAGCCACATCCCCAGCCCTTTTTGATATTTTATTTAGAGAAGGGTCTCACTGAGTTATTTAGGGCTTTGGTAAGTTGCTGAGGCTGGCTTTGAACTCATGATCCTCCTATCTCAGCCTTTTGAGCTGCTGGGATTACAGGTATGTGCCATCACACCCGGTTTGATTCTTTATGTAAGTCTAATATGAGAGGATACGGTATATATGTATACATGTGAATATATATCAGAACATGGTATCTATTCAGATCCTTACGTATATCCTGATACATATCCCATACATATTATATTACACTGATCAGCATCAGTCTTACAAGGATTGCTTTAGATTTTTTCACAAAAGTCTGAAAAATGGCCAGGAGTAGTGGCTCATGTTTGTAATCCCAGCAGGTTGGGAGGCTGAGGCAGGAGACTCGTGAGTTCAAAGTCAGCATCAGCAATTTAGCAAAACCTTGTCTTAATATAAAACATAGAAAAGGGTTCTGCGGTTAAGCATGCCTGGGTTCAATCACTGGTACCCTCTCCCCCAAAAAATCTGAAAAATGAACAAGAGCACTGTCAGCTAAGGAAAGAGCATTCTGTGACAAAAACAGTGCACACACACCTGCCCCATGATTTAATCAGCTAACGTCATCACCTCTTCAACTCTGTAACCATCTCATGACTGTGGTTGCACTTGGTTTCTGTTTTGGGCTGTTTTTTTTTCCCATATGAAGCCCCTTGCTAAAGCAGGGGGTGCATAATTTTTGGACAAATAATAATATAATGCTCAATAATCCAAGCCCATTAATTTGAGAGCACAGTTAGAATTGTTCTCTGGGAAAAAATTCCATTTGTTTATTTATTTATTTGCAGTGCTTGAATACAGGACCTTACCCTTGCTAGAAGCACACCACCGTCACTGAGCTATATCCCCCGCCCTTAGAAGAGAAGACCTCTTTTAGAAGCCATGAGCTGACTCCTATTATCACCCAACTAGCTTTATCCTAACATGTCAGGAAGTTATACATGGGGTTTTAGGAAGATTTGATGCCCTTCCCCAAGGCTGGTCCATTTCAATGCCTGTTAATTAGCCCCACTCTTCCCTCCCTGCACAGCTTCAAGGCATTTTGGGATTGATTAAACACCTTTAGATAAAAACCAACCAGGAAACTTCCCTTCATAATTAAACTTAACTAACTCATAAGGTTTACTAGTTTGTCTTATGGTCTAACTTAGAAAAAATGATAGCAGAATTTTACACCTGTTCTTATTTGTAAGGAAGACCATCAATACTTATAGATAAAGAAATTGGTTCATCTGCAGAAATACTAGAATGAAAGCCAGGTTTGGTGGCACCCACCTGTAATCCCAGTGGCTTGGGAAGCTGAGGCAGGAGGATGGAGAGTACAAAGCCAGCCTCAGCAATGTAGTGAGGCTCTAAGCAATTTAATGAGACCCTTTCCCTAAGTTTATTTATATATATTATTGATATAAATTTAGTTATATAAATATGAATGAAGGGCTGGGGGTAGTTCAGTGGTGTAGCACCCCTGGGTTCAATCCCCAGTACAAAAAAAAAAAAAAAAAAGAATGAAGCTGTGTATTTAAACTAATCCAGTACAGTTCTATTTGTAATTGTAATTAGGATTAACCTTATCACTCATCAAAAAAGACAACGAACAATAGCATCTACATCCTATGAAACACTATGTAGTAACTGAATAAAATGAGATAGACTAATATTTGCTGATAATGGAAAGATGTCTATGATGTTGTTCACTTAAAAAAACTGTATAAATATATATCCATCATATTTATACAGTTTGCTTATCCATCATGAATCCACTTACATAAAAACCAAAATGATAAACCTACATGTGTATCATGTATATACAAAACATGTTTGTAAATGCACAGAAAAAGATCTGGAAAGAAACAGTCCCTGGCACACACCAGGAATCCCAGCTACTTGGGAGGCTGAGGCAGGAAGATGACAACTTTGAGGGACCCTGTCTCTAAATAAAAAATAAAAAGGACTGGGGATGTAACTCTATGGTATGGCAAAACAAACAAACAAACAAAAACCCACTGCCAACTCCAACAGGAAAAAGAATGTAATAAGGACTTTTACTTTTTACTCTAGACTTTGCTGTTTAATTTTTACTATGAAATGTACATTAATTTCGTAATTTAAAACATTTCAAAAAACAATCAGAGTCAGTACTAATACCATATAGTGTCTTGATTTTGTGATTTAATTTTTTTTTTTTTTTTTGGGAACTGGGTATTGAACTGAGGGCCTCATTAGGCAGGTGCTTACCACTGAGCTACAACCCCAACCCGAGATGTTCTCGATTTAACAAGATAACATTTTATTACTTACACTTGAGCAGTTTGTTATTTATAACCAACAAGTGTTGGTAGAAACAACCACAGGAGGCACTGGCAGGCATCCTGATGGAGTGTTCCTGCTGGGTTTGGTCATGGCGCCCTCTTGTGACCACTGAGAGGATGTCAGCCTGGGGTGCTAAGATGAGCAAATGGCCCAGTGAGGAAGGGTGGCGCTGGCATGGGGTAGTGGGGATGGGAGCCAGTCTCTTCAAAGTGGTCTCTGAGGAACTTCTTGAATGTCTTCACAGACTATTAATAGAAGGTGGTATTGGATTAATCAAGCTTTATTTTCTGGAGCAACTGAAATGGCTGGAGTGGCCCAGGCTTGCTGGTCCAGAAAGGCCTGCAAGCATCATTCTTTCTTGAGCCATTTGGCAGTTGCTTTCAAGTATAGCTATGTCTTCATGGGACACTGGATGAGAGTGGATAGGGTAGGGGAGGAGAATAAGTGTGGGATCAGTACGTGGATAGGGTAGGGGAGGAGAATAAGTGTGGGATCAGTACTGTGGGAGGGGGCAGAAGGAAAATGGAGAGGGCCCAACTTTACAAGAGGCCAGTGTGTCTTCTCATCCATATGGAAAATGGGAGCTAAACAAAAATGTGACAGGCTCCGAGAGGGAAAGCATCACATACATAGCAAGAGGCAGCCCAAATTAGGAGGGTCAAAGCGCCAAGTACGTGTCATCAAATTCTACCTGGAAAATGACTTTAAACACGTTTTCCTTTCTTCCTTGCTCTTTAAGATGGTGATAAATTGGTTTTAAAAAATCAACAGGTCCAAAGTGGAATCGTTGCAGAGTCTCTACACAACTCTTTCAAAAGGCATTTGTTTTTTCGTATGATGCTGAGGGTTGAACCAGGGCCTTGCTCATGCTTGGCAAGCACTCTACCACTGAGCTGCCCCAGACCCTTAACTTAAGCAGGGTTTAATAATATAACCCTGGATTTGATCCCCAGCATCACGTGTGTGTGTGTGTGTGTGTGTATGTGTATAACATACATGAATATTTTTTAGCCACTAAAGAATCTCTCCCCAGAATAGGAAAGACAGTAGAATGAATCAGACATAACTTTCCTCCATATATACACAACTAATGAATCTCCATATCATGTACAACTGCAAAAATGGGATCCCAATTAGACTAAGTTATAATCCACATACATATAATATGTCAAAATACACCCTACTTTCGTGTATATCTAAAAAAAACAAATAAAAAAATTTAAAAGAGAATTTACCTCCAGGATCCTCCATAAAATGCTTACCTAATAAGGAGGTTGGTTTTGGAGGTCTGGGTGAAGGTGGAGGGCAAGGTCCGGGCACCGCCGCGTGCACTGTGAGGTTCAGGTTGAAGGTTCCATTGAGCACATACGTGTGATTCAAAGTGTGATTGTTGGAAACAAACAAGCCAGTGTTATCCCCAAAGTTCCACTTGTAGTCAATGGCAGATTCATTGAGGAAGTGGCTGGGATCGTGAATCAAGACATCAAACTTGATGGGGAGGTCTCTGAGGAAGGTTTCATCAGATGAATTTCGATCATTCTTCTGGGACATGGTCACAAATACAGGAATCTCATCTACAAAAAACATCACAAAGAAGAAGGATTGCACCAGGCTTTATCTAAAGTGGTGAGGCTTTTAGGTTAAAAATTAGGGGTAACACAGCATCATGCTCTCCTTTTTGTATGTAAGTTTTCTCAAGTTCTTCTGGAAAACATAGATGGGATACAACATAATTAAGCTTGGGTAGGGGCCCAGGTGAATCATAACCCAACCCAGGATACTCAGTGCTCTTTCTTAACCCCCAGTAGAGCCACGTGCCTCATCCTCAGAGCCCACAACACCACGCACCTGTTACCACGTACACATCTTTAACCTGTGCAATGGGCATGTACGCCCGGCCGTGTCTTCTATAGACAGTCACTTCCATGACATGGGTGCCAAGCGTCATGTTGGTTGTGTTTATAGAAACTCTCACGGAGCATCGTCCCAACTTTTGGAAATACTGACCTACAAGGAGATGGACGTTCTTAGTTACCTGCAACATCACACCATCTTTCTAGAAGTTGATTCTGAAAGACCAGTGACTGCCATGGAGGGATTGCCCTGAGGAGGGATGATGGGAAGGGAAGATAGAGCTGCTCCAGGAAGGAAGATGGTTTCTATGTAGCGCTTTCTAGAGCACACCCACAGTGTACACACATCATTGTGGGTTGTTGGTTAAAATGAAAAGAGCTATTTATTGGGATAATACAGTTGGCCCTCAGTTTACAAGTAAATACTGTACATGACTGAAGTGATTTGGCACTTGAAGTACACATTTTTTTCCCCCCACAGAAAATGCATTTAATGTGCTGAATGTTTTCTCTGATATAAGGAGGCTGATTCATAGTGAGGTAGGGAGAGGGAGCATGGGAGGAATAGGAACTCTAGATAGGGCAGAGGGGTTGGAGGGAAGGGAGGAGGCATGGGGTTAGAAATGATAGTGGAATGTGATGATCATTATTATCCAAAGTACCGGTATGAAGACATGAATTGGTGTGAATATACTGTGTATACAACCAGAGATATGAAAAATTATGCTCTGTATGTATAATAAGAATTGTAATGCATTCTGCTGTCATATGTAAATAAAAAAAATAAAATGCATTTAATGTAACAATGAGGTGTTCTACCTTAATTTGTTGACAATATGACTAGAGCTATATTGTTAAACAGGATTTTTTTTTAAAAGAGGCACAGGAATCCTCTACTTTCTGATAGTATTTGTATCACTGTCACTATATAAAGATATATGTATACACACACATTTAACCAACACACACGTGTGTGTGTGTGTGTGTGTGTATACTATATAAAGTAAGTGATGAGAGAAAGATGTAGATAGAAGAGGGAATGGAGGAATAGTTTTACAAGTGGAAAATGTTAATCCCAGTTCTGAGAGATGTGATCAAGCTTAGTTGAGTTGGGAATATCCCTAAACTCTGAGACCTCAGTAGAGGATGGAAATTCACGAGAGTCTTGTTAGAAAAACAGCAATTTCTAGGTTGAAGACTGACTTTTAAGCAAAGACATCTGATCTGGTTAAGTTGAAGGAACTTAATCACAACTAGGCTAAAGAGTGTTAACTTAAACTTTAACTTGGGGGCTGGAGATATGGCTCAGTGGGTAGAGTGATCGCCTAGCATGCACCAAGGCCCTGGGTTCAATCCCCAGCATCACCAAAAAATCCCACTCCCCACCAAAAAAAACCTTAACTACATGGTGCCAGGAGTGGTAGTGAAGATAAGTGACTCCATGTAAACAGTCAGAACACATCCTTGATGGGTCAAGGAAGTCATGTTTGGTGAGTTGACTGACAGGACCAAGATGGAATTGAAAAAACAGCTTTAAAGCAATTGATGGGCATAATATTTGACATTTTGTACTTTGTTTAATAAGTATGTATTATGATTTTGTTTTTATATATAAATAAGTTCAATGAGGAGAAAGGTACATTCTCTAATTTATGAGGAAAGAAGAAACATTTAGAGATGTAGAAGCTGTTTGGTAGTAGTTTCAAACACTCGCCTGGTAGCTTTTTTTTTTTTTAATTGTACTGGGGATAGAGCCCAGGATGTTGCACATGCTAACAGCACTCTAACCCCGGTTACATCCCTAGCCCTCTGGTGACATTTTAAATTAAAAATTTAGCAGCCTTGCTAATAATAACCTAAATTTGTTTCTCCTACAATAATCACTTTTCCACTAATAAAGCAAAGAGAACACCATTTATGGTTTACAAAAAGAGAGGGTAGGCTATGTTAAGGAAGAACAGTAATTAGATGATATTATTTCTACATAATGGAATATTATGCAGCCATTAAAATAATGTAAATAGGAATTTTTAATGATAGTAGCTTGTAATAGCAAGCAAAAACAGGTATACATTCTAATCTTAAGACAGAGGGCTGGAGATGTGGCTCAGTGCCCCTGGATTTAATCCTTGGTATAAAAAAAAACATATTAATATTTCCAGGCCCTATGATACATGGCTATTATCCCAGGAGGCTGAGGCAGAAAGATTATAAGTTTGAGGCGAGTCTTTGCAATTTAGCAAAACCCTGTCTCAAAATAAAATCCAAAGGGCTAGGATGTAGCTTAAGACATGCCTCGAATGTGCAAGACACTAGGTTCAATTCCAGGTACAACAAACAGAAAGGAAATATTAGTAGTGAAAACACCATCATGTTCAATGGATGAAGTGTATTTTTTGTTTGTGTTTTTCTGCATTTCCCAAATTCCCCTCAAAGAGCATACATTTAATTCTTAAAAATTCATTTGAGGACATTAAAGAATAAATGCCCATCCATGTGCCATCTGAATGAATAAATATTAATAGGTTTTTTTCATATTACTGTTTTAGCCTAAATAATTGAGTGATTTTGTTTTGGAAAAAAAATGAGAGAGAGAGAGAGAGAGAGAGAGAGAGAGAGAGAGAGAGAGAGAGAGAGAGAGAGAGAGAGAGAGATTGGATCTGTTTTTTTGTTCTTTTCTCATTTTAATTCTTTGGTGTCCTGGAGATCTAGCAAGGTCAAGCAGAATTTTATTTTTCTCTCTTATGTCCATTCAAACTCAGGAGAGTTAATGGAGTAACTGTTGTTCAAGTTTTGGTGTTATAATTTCAATTTTAGTGTAAGAAAAGAGAAGGTTAAGGTTTTCTTCTCATTATTCTTCTCTATTATTGTTTTTGGTACTGGGGACTTATATCTGGGGAGTTGGGTGGTGGCTACCACTGAGCTACATCTCCAGTGGGGTTTTTTTTTTTTCATTTTTACTTTGAGATAAAGTCTCACTAAACTGCTGAGGCTGGCCTCAAAATGATCATCCTTCTGCCTCAGTCTCCCAAGTCACTGGGATTACAGGTGTGCACCCCACAGCTGGTGTGAAGCTTAAAAATTCTTTAAAAAGGCAAAGAAGAGGCTAAAAGAGTTTGTAAAAGTCTAACCCTGTGTGTGAAAGATGTAGACAAAATTCCATTTCTTCCATCCATGGTGGTGAGGGAAAGGCTTCCCGTCAGGGAACACATTGTGCTGGCTTTGGCCAGGGCCATTCCCCCAGTCACTGTCCTCTGACCAGGACGTCCAGTTGTAAACATACGGGTCAAGAGACAAGCCAGAATCTAAACAGAGAAAGAAACAAGACATGATTATCATGCTCAACTCTGAATTAAATATTTTATTAACTCCCCACCCCCAGTCCCACCCCATATTGAGTTTTGAACCCAGGGGCACTCTACCACTGAGCTACATCCCAGCCCTTTTTATTTTTGTTTTGCAACAATAAATTAATCTCTATATCTATACCTATGCAGATATAAATATAAACTTACAGAGAGAAGCAAATATAGCAAAAATTTTAGATTGTTGACCATAGGTGGAAGGTATCTGGGTGCTTTCAAGTTTTCTGTGTGTATGGAATTTTCCATTTTAAACAAGTAATGGTCAATATCTTTTCATCTAGAACAGTCCCCTTACCCTCTTTTATTTATTTATTTATTGTCACTGATATTTTTGAAATAATTTTTTTTTCCTCCCCAGTTCTGGGGATGATACTCAGGGCCTCACAATGCTAGGCTGCTAGGCAAGCTCTCTACCCCTGAGCGACATCCCCAATCCTTGAAAAGCCTATTTATTTATTTGGGTACTGGGGGTTGAACTCAGGGGCACTCTGCCACCGAGCCACATCCCCAGTCCTATTTTGTATTTTATTTAGATACAGGGTCTCACTGAGTTGCTTAGGGCCTCACTTTTGCCGAGGCTGGCTTTGAACTCGCGATCCCCCTGCCTCAGTATCTGGAGCCACTGAGATTACATGTGTGTGCCACTGTGCCTGACCCTTTTTCTTTATGAATCTATAAGTTGTTATTGCTTTTTATATTTAAATTATCCCAAACATGGCCAATGGAAGCTCCTTGAGCTGGCTCCTGTGTCTTTTTGACATAACCTGGGTAGTCTGTGAGCTCTTTCTTATTTTCTGGCACAACAGATGTCTCAGGATGGCCTAGTACTTTCTTACCTTACACCTGGAATCGGTTACTTCTGCAAAGATTCCTAGTTTTCCTTTTCTTTCTTTCTTTTTTTTTTTTAGTGATGATAGATACTTATAAACATTTTCATAAGAATTATTTCCCATAAAAATGCTCACAGGACTAGATTGTCATAAGAATCAGCTTTTTTTAAAAAAGAAGAAACAGAAAAAAAAAGACCATATTACTTAACACGTGTTAAATATTAAGCCCTTTCCATACAGAATTCAATGTTTTCCCCAGAGGAGAAGGTAAAAAAATAATAAGGCATGAACTCATCAACAGTTTAATAAAAATTCTAAATAATAAAATCAGATTATAAAGACATTGAATAGCTTTAGCACTGATTGAAGAATAAGCTTCAGTAAATTAGCTGTTCTTTTCTTTTTTAAGAATGTACAGTTTTAGGGCTGGGGTTGTGGCTTATCGTTAGAGTGCTCACGTGCAAGGCCCTGGGTTCAATCTTCAGCACCACATAAGAATAAAATAATAATAATAATAATAATAATAATAATAATAATGAATGTACAGCTTTGAAAAGATAATTTCCCTTGATGGAGCCACATCCACAGCCCTATTTTGTATTTTATTTAGAGACAGGGTCTCACTGAGTTGCTTAGCGACTCACCATTGCTGTGGCTGGCTTTGAAACCTCGATCTTCCTGTCTCAGCCTCTGAGCTGCTGGGATTAAAGGTGTGTGCTACCATGCCGGGCTAAAGAACTTATCTCTTTAAGAGCCCCAAATACACATTTGAGCATTTGTGCAAGCCACACAGCATTTGCTTGAGAAATACTGTTCAGCAGAAATTAAACTCATCAGCAAACATCTGTCAAATTGGCAATTTTGATCTCCAAAAAAAGTTCCAAGTAATAAAATCATAATCTGAGATCAATGAGGTTGTCCATTCAACTGGACACTAAGAAAAAGCTGGGTGGGACAGTGTAGTTTTTAAAGAGGGATCCAATCAGCACAGCCACCAGTGGGCTGAAGTAGGTTTGGCTGCTGTTGATTTGATGAAGGGACCTGGTAGGACCACATTCTCCCTCGCTGTCGTCCAGCACAAGAAGGAGGGTGGCAAGGACAGCAGCAGCATCTTGCCCTTTCAGAAGTACCTGTGAGCATTAAGGGGTAGAGACGGGTCTCCTGTAGTTCAGGAGAACTACTGCATTCTCACCATTTCTGCAGTTCTTCTCGTAGACTATGTTGCCGTTGGCATCTTCCTTTTGGCATCTGGGGAATACCAGGTTCACTGCAAAGGTTATGTTTGAGCCCACCAGTGCCGGTGAGTCACTGGTCAGGACTGCCTGCACACGGCCTCCTAGAGCAACAAGAAATGGAGCTCACTGATCTTTTACCTTTCACCCATTAATAAACATTTAAAGTAAAGTTTAATCAATTGATAAGGTCCAGAAAGAGGATCCATATGTCTCTTTGGACTTTTTTGTTTTTGAGATGGGGTCTTGCTATGTTGCCCAGGCTAGCCTCAGACTTGCAATCCTTCTGCCTCAGCCTCCAGAATAGCTGGGATTACAGGCACACTTCACCTGGCTCCATATGTCTTTTTATGCTATATTAAATTTATTTTCTGAATGCCTTACTTTAGCTTTCAGAATACAACATTCTAGAAGATAAACAGAAATCTGACTCGTGAAAGAATTTTCTAACCACTAAAAAAATATTTACTTATGATGATTGAAAAAATCTGCTCAATGGGATGGAGGAGACAAATGTTAAAAGTTCACATATTTTTTCATCTCAATACCCAAAGACTGAAGGACTCATTATTTATCTAAGTAGAAAGATATTCGCTTTGTGATGAACCACACTTTTCTGAAGGTGACCATTCCCACGTTGGTTAGAAAGGTTTGAGACTAAACCTGCTGACTTTCCAAAATATTTCAAGCATTATAAATTTGGAAAATTCTAAGATTAAAAAGTGGTCTAGAAAGTGAAACAGTCGGGATAAAGGAGAGATCATCAAATCCGGGTGCCATGCACTTGGAAGTGACAGCGAAAACCTGAACTCTGTAACCTCCAAGACTTGCTAAAGTCAGAAATTCCAGTTGTGAGGGTTCAATTGGGCTTACCTTTCCAGGAATTTTTCCACCTTGCATCTCCCCTCTTCCACACGGGATACAGCTTTTCGTTCCAGTCATTTTCATCGGAAGACCAGCCATTTAATTGGTTGTGTTTCCTCATATAACCAGGATACCTTTCATTGCCCAGCACATCATGAAATCCTGTGTTGGTATTTGAAAAACAAATTACTTTGTCTATTCCATCCCTCATTTAGTCCTTATGCAACAATCGTTAAAGAAGATTTCATTTCATACCGTTGGAAAGCACATCCATAATACAGCCAACATGCCAAGTAAACAGAGGGTGCTTTTTAAAAAATGAGTTTACTGGAAATAACTTGCATACAGCATTTGGAACCGATCTCTTTTATGTACTTTAAATGAACCAAAAAAATGTTTTGAAAGCCAGTATTTCTTCGACATCTCTTGGCTTCTTATATCTTCCGAACACTTGGATTTGGTACAATATCCTTAGGAAAACTCAGATGCCAGTGTTCTTCAGACAGTTTTTGCATCTTTTTCCCAGTCTGAACTATGCTGTTGGCTAAGGAAAGTTAGGCTCAAGAATGCCTCCAGGATTCCAAGAGACACATACCAGGGCTGGAGATCCCACCGTGAAAGAAATTTTTTACAGCCCAGAATATAATCTGGCTTGGTGAATGTTCCCTATGCACTTGTAGAGTTATATTTGGGACTGGGGTTAGAGCTCAGTGGCAGGGTGCTTTCCTAGCAGGTGCAAGACCTTGCGTTTGAGTCCCCATACCACCACCACCAAAAAAAAAAAAAAGTAACTATATTAAGCTAATTGATGATGTTTTTGTCTACTTTTTATTTCAATTACTGAGAGAGGAATCTTGAAATCTTTAGAATTGTGCATTGTCAAAAATTTGCTTATTTCTGTCAGTTTTTGCTACATGTTTTCGGAAGCTCTGTTTTTAGGTATATAGGCATTTAGATGTGTTAAGTCTTCTTGATGAGTTGATCTTTTTCTTATTAGAAATTGATCCTCTGCCCCTGGTAATACTCTTTGTTCTGAAAAATACTTTGATATTAATGCTTAGTGTTTAACTGGTATATATTTTTCTATTTTTTTAAAAAATTTTTAACCTAGGTGCATTTTTATGTTTGAAATGGGTTTCTTGGAGACACCATATAGTTGGCTCTGTTATTGCAAATCTAGTCTGGAAAAAATCTCCACCTTGTATTTGAAGTGTTTAGATAATTTATATTTAATTTAATTATAAATACTGTGCAATTTAAGTCTTCTGGTGGTCCCATCTGTTCTTCTTTCCTGTCTTTCTTCTCTAGCTGTACTTTTTAGGATTTTATTTGTATTCCATTCTGTCTTTACTACTGGCTTATTAACTGTATCTCTTTGTCTTATTTTGTTTTGAATGATTGCTCTAGAGTTTATAATATTATAATTCCTTTAAAATTATTTCTGATCTTCATTGTTGATGTCTTCCTTGCCTGACAACTCTGGTCATGTGGTCTCCACTTTCTTTGAAGCTTGTAGCAGGTTGGTTGATTGGCTACCAGTAGCCGTTTCCTGCTCACACTCCAGTTTTTCCCTCCCCGACAGAGGCTCTGCTACAACATATCAAAATTTCAGACACTTTCCCAGCGTTTCTTACAGTTTGGGAAGAAGCAGACGATTAAATCCTAGGCAATGAAAGCGGAGAGGAAATCTGTTGAGAGCTTCTAGGACAAGGTTTCCTCTTTTATAAAAAGAGACACGAGAGAATGAACTCCCTATTTTTCCTTTCAGAATTATAGTATTTCGTTCATGGCCAAATGTCAATTACCTGAAATCTTTAGTCAACCACTAATCATATGCTTTTAAAAATCATTGTCTCATCAATTAATCTAGTGCTGGCTTGACCTGGCCACAAACTCTTAAAGGCCCAAAACTCTGTTTTTTTAAGCTCTGGAAAAGGTCTGTCACATGGTATGGTATTTAGTGGGTGCTCAGAGAAACCATATTGAATGTTTGCTACTGACCTCCTTTATCTTTTCCTTTTTTTTGATGATGCTGGGGATTGAACCCAGGAGTGCTCTAGTGCTCTACTATTGAATTACATCCCCAATTCTTTTTATTTTTCCTTTAGAGACAGGGCTCACTAAGTTGCTGAGGCTGGTCTCAAGCTTCTGATCCTCCTGCCTCAGCCTCCTGAGTCACTGGGATTACAGGCATGTGTCACTGAGCCTGGCTCTTTTGTATCCAGCAGGAGAAAGAGTTTTGTTTTGTTTTTTTTCTCCCCAGGAAGAGACATTTTGTTGTCCCCTCTTAACAGGGAGTCAGGTGGAATGGGAGAGAACATTGATCTAGGTGTCATAGAGCCTAGGTTCTAGCCTCGGTTCTGCTACTAAACTGGCTGTCTGACCTCAGGTCATATGTTTTTTCTGGACCTTCAAATTAGACAAAACCCAAATGCTATGTGATTCTGTCATTATTCTTATTTGGAAACAGATGCTGAGTGAGGACAGGAAATTCATGTTTATCAATAAATGTTTGTAATAGGAAATTCACTTTTAATTGAGTCACAGAGAATGAACTCCTTCCCTTTGCGGATGAATAAAGCCAGGCCTAGAGACTGATATGATTCACCTAGGGCCATCTTTAATGTAGTGGAAATGAAGATTCACATCTTTTCATCCTCACGACTAGTTCTTTCTATTTCAAAGAGCCTTCTTCTTCCTCAGATCCTGAGAGAATTTCCAGAAATATAATCAAAACACAGATTTCTCCTCTGATTTTAAATGTTAGAAGTCAAGGAAAAATATAAACTTAAAAGGAGCGTGTCAAGGGATAGACACATAGGTCAGTGGAAATGAAGTAAGGGGCCCAGAAATAGACCCACACAAGTATGGCCTACTGATTTTTGACAAAGATTTAGAAATTATCCAGTGGAGAAAAGATGGACTTTCAACAAAAGGTGCTGGGAAAAAAAGTAATAAGCATAGACAAAAACCTTCAGGATTCAGGGCTAGACCAGAATTTAGACTTGATACCAAAGCTATAAACCATAAAAGGAAATACTGATGTATTGGGCCTTATTAAAACAAAAAAAAATTTGCTCTGTCAAAGTCTATGTAAGGGGATGAAAAGTAGAGCTACCGACTAGGAGAAATTTTTTGCATATCACATTTCCAACAAAGGAGTAGTATTCTCATATATAAAAAATTCTCAAAGTTTAACCTGAAAAAACAACCCATTCAATTAGAAAATGACTAAAAAACATGAACAGATATATCAACAAAGAGAATATACAGACGACAAATAATCACATGGCAAGATACCCAACTTCATTAGCCAATAGGGAAATGCCTGATAAAACTACAATGAAAAACCCCCATAGATCTATCAGTTTAACCCAAATAAAGAGTAATGCAGCAGAGGAAGTAGGGACAGTCAGTTATTGCTAGTGGCAATATAAAATGGTAGAGCAAGACTGTTGATTTCTTGTAGAACAGCACACAACTGCTGTACAACCAATCAATTGACTCTTTGATGTGCGTCCTAGGGAAATGAACTTACGTTCATATCAAAGTCTGAAGATTCACAGCAGCTTTACTCAGAGTAACCCCAAGAGCAATAACCCAAATGTCCTTCAGTGGGTGAATGATTCAACAAGCTCTGGTTCATACAGACCATGGGATACTACTCAGCAGTAAAAAGGAACAAACTTTTTTTGGGGGAGTGGGGGGTACCAGGGATTGAACCCAGGGGCGCTTAACCACTGAGCCACATCCCTAACCCTTTTAATTTTTTATTTAGAGACAGGGTCTTGCTAAGTTGCTTAGGGCCTTGCTAAATTGCTGAGGCTGGCTTTGAACATGCAATCCTCCTACTCAGCCTCTGGAGCTGAGATTATAGGCATAGGCCATAGTGTTCGGCTAGGAACAAACTATAGATGCAGCAACTTCAATAAATTTCCAGGGAACTATGTTGAGTCAAAGAAGAGCCAGTGCCAAATGGTCACCTACTGTATAATTCCATTTGCGTGCATTCCAGAAATTACAAAATTATAAAAATGGAGAATGGATTTGTGATTGCTAGGGTCTGGGAAGTGGTGGAGGGGAAGTGGATTTGGCTATAAAAGGGCATGAGGATGCTTGTGGTGATGACTGGTTCTGTATTTTGACTATCTTAATGTCAATATCTTGGTTACGATACCAGGATTTGCCTTATCTCACTACTGGAGCAAAGTGGGTGAAGGGTGCATCGAGATCTATTATTTCTTACAATTTCATATGAATGTATAATTACTTCAAAAGGAAAGGTCAGATTTGAAAATAAGATAAATGAACGGTATGCAGGTTCTAAAAGGAAGCAACAAGTGTGTGTGAATGTGGGGGGAGGAGACATAGGCAGAAGGTAGGACTGAGTGGCCCACTGCTAGGTGGGCTTCCCCCTCTATACTCACCACTCCCTATTCTGCCTTCCAGCAGAGAGCAGGTGTCTGGGGCTGCTTTTTACCTACTCTGTCATCAACTTTTTTGCATTTTGTAAAAAGCAGATTGCAAAGAAAGATTTGTGATTGCCCAGACTATGGTTCAAAGTCCCTTGGTGTTTGACACACTGCTAAATGCTATCTGCCCTTATTTATCTGGGCCAGAATATTTAGTCTAGGGCAAGAGGAACCCAGGAATGTCTGGGCTTTGTAACACTGCCTAATAGGTTGGGACTCTTCTCAAACTGACAGCCCAGATTCATCCTCTGGTTAATCTGTTTTATTAAGCACACCTGGAATCGGGGGCAGGGGCTCCCATGGACCTGTCTGTGTGCCCATATCTCAATCTCTCAGGAATGCAGATTCCTGGGGAGTCTGTCCTCAGAGGTCTGCTGGAGCGGGGTGCAGATCTGTCAGAGAAGAAGAATTTCCACCATGTATGTCTCCTAGCCAAGCACCTTTTGTTAGTTGATCTCACAAGAACTTATCACCAGTTTGGTAAAAGGAAATGAAAACTCAATGAAGCTAAGTCACTCGGGGACCAGCCGGGCTGGCAGGGGACCCAAGTGGGTCCTCTAAGCCCTGGCAGGAAGGACAGCGTTTTAGATGGCCGTTTTCTTTCCTCTTCCATCTACCAGCTGTGGGCCTTGCCACTCCACTGGGCACACTCCACTTGAATTCCTTGCCCTCTCTGTGGTTTCTCTCCTCCCCTGGGAAGAGGGACAATCACAGCCTCAGTCTCCCCGAGCTCTTCTAAGGAGCCAAACACCGACACCAACTGGGCAGGTCGCCTGGCCCCAGCTGGCTGAGGTCCTTGTGTTTGGACTCACTGGTCCAAAGTGCTGGAGGCGGTTGTGGGCATTACCTGAGTGACATAAACCAGACGGCCTGCATAGTGACTACACACTTGGGCACCAGTCAGGTGTGGCTTCCAGGATGCTCAAACCCACCCCCACTTTCGCTGACCCCTCATGGAGTTGTCTGGAGGAACCGGGACCCCTAGAAGGTCACTGCTCTATTGGAGCAAGGTGGGGTGGACCTTCTGGGAGAGGCGTGGTTCACTTTCACTCTTAACTCGCTTGCTCTTCCTGGAGGAACAGGGTCACCTGTGCACTAAACAAGTGGGCACACTCCACCTCAGTGGTTCCCACCCCTGGCTGCGCATCCGGAGGGCCAGAGCACTTTTTAAGTGAGAATAGGCTGAGCCCACTCCCAAACATGCCGATTTCATTGATTGGCATCAACATTGTTATAAGTGCCCAGTCTTGCTGGCTCAGTGGGGCACACCTGTCATCCCAGTTACTAGGGAGGTTGAGGCAGGAGAACCTCAAGTTTGAGGCCAGTCACTGCAACTTAGCAAGACTGTCTCAAAATAAAAATAAAAAGGACTGGGGATATAGCTCAATGGTAAAGGGGTCCTGGGTTCAATCCCCAGTACCACACGCACAGAAGTGCACACACACTGCCCCATCTCTAAAGCATAACCAGGGTAGAGAAGCAGGTGTCAGCCCTTCTCTCAGTAACCTCAGAGAAAGGGCAGCAAGCTCCTACAGGTCTGCAGAGAAAGCTCAGCCAAGTTTCTGGATAGGGCATGAGAGAGCTTGTCTCCAGATTTGAGCCCCCATTTCATCTGAGGTTTGTCTCCATGCTGTTGAAAGGAAGCCAGACAAAGTTTTGTTGGTAGAGTTACTTTATTCTAGGGACAGGGACCATCCTCCCTCTTTCAACCCCTGTCTGGCAACAGCAGAGGAGGAATTGGCAATGAAAAAAGAGCTCCATAGGGCTGCATGATTTCTATTTTCCATGAGCCTGAAACAAGGCTGCGGTTGGAGGATGCAGGAGTTTCAACATTCCCAGTGGTTTGCAGGAGAAATGAATGAGTCCGAATCCGTGAATGCTTCCTGGGGAGTTTCAGTCCAGGTCAGCTCAGAGGATATTATTATCCATCACCTAGCCAACAGTCACAGGAGGGGTTAAACATAAAAATAGAATTACTCACGTTTGGCTGCATCAAGTGGCAGTCTAGAAGCCAGAAACAGAAATCCTAGGACACAGTAGAGACATTCCATGTTGAATTGCCCTGGCAATCAGGATATAACTTTCAACTCCTCTGGTCCCATCCACGGAGAGCACTAGTGTTCTGGGCTCAGCCGTGCCCCACTCTTTATTAAACGAAATACAGGGCCTCGGGGCAGATCATGTGATGGTATTAAGCAGCATTGCCTGATCTGTTTTCTTGAATTCAACCTCTTACAGCTCATGTGCTTGTGACTCACTCACCCCAGGCATCTATTTATTCACTATTTGGATGTGCCTGATTTGGATTTTGTAATTTCATATTTACTAGTTTTAGAGGAACTTCCTATCCTATGACCCCATTTTAATATTCTTCTCCAAATAAAATTTCAGTTCTCCATCCTCATTGATGATGAACTTGCTGTGGTTCCTTCAGTCACTCAGCTCATGTGCAGAGGATAGATCTTTTTTCTGTACTTTAGGATGATCAGCTCCCAATACTAGCAGATGCTTCTGTATTCCCTTCCCTGAAGAGGAGACAGATGGGGAGGGTCTCTCCAGTCATTTGAGATAGTGTTATACATATATAGCTAATAATGTAGATGTTGTGCCAGAATGTGCTGGAAACAGTTGCACAGGTTTCCAGTAGTTGAGAAATTTACTCAGAAGCACATTTGGAATATCAGTGCAATTCTTTATAATTTTCAAAACAACCTGCATAATCTTAGGTGACTGTTCTTAAAGCATGTACATGCATGTTGTATCTTTCAGGATCAATTGCATAAAACACACTGCATATTTATTTCATTTTATGGCAAGCAGGCATTGATGTAAAAACAAGCTTGCCTGAAATATAAATTTTGTACAAAGATGACATGAACTCTATTGCATGTGATCTTTCTCCAAGGCACATCCATGTGACCATTTTCAGGGCATTAGAAGTCCTTGTTGGGAGTAAGGGAAAAATGTGGAGTACTGGTTTATGTTTGGTTGTATTACAGGGGAATAGAAAGAGTCTGTGAAACTGAAATCCGTAGAGCAGAGACAGCCAATTTCCTACACCTAGGCCATATGCAGCTGCCTAGAGCTCCTTTTATAGCCTTTGAAGCAAATATCAAGGGAAAGATAGGCACATGAGCCCATAATCCATGATTGAGACAACTGTTTTCAAATACAGATGAATAAGTGAATCATGGGAATATTTATTGGTTTTATGTCATGTAAAGTAAATAATTTACATAGTTCTATTTGCTGTTCACAAAACGTGTAAGTTTTTTTTTTGCTACCAGGAATTGAACACAAGGGTGCATTCACGCTGCCACATCCCCAGCCCTTTTTATTTTTTATTCTGAGACAGGGTCTCACTGAGGCTGGATTTGAACCTTTGATCCTCTTGCCTCAGCTTCCTGAGCTACTGGGCTTACAGGTGTGCACCACCACACCTAATATGTATAACTTATACAGTTCAAAAAAAAAGCTTTTCAATTTAGGAAAAACTTCCTACTATTATTAAATATTATTGCTCTTTGTTGCTGACACAGTCCTGGCTTGTATTTTTGGCTAGATTAGCGTCCTCTGTCTCTAAATAAATTGGAAATGTTAAACTCTTCCATAAGAAAACCTTAGTTTTGTTTAGGGAGTCACAATGACTAAATTTTCTTTTATGTTTTCTTGCCTTCTCTGCTCCATCAAGGAGAGACAGTGACACAGGGCAAGAGTCAAAGGTTGGTGCTAGACAGAGGTGAACAAGAAACTGGAAGTTCACTTGTCCTTTCTCTCTCTCTCTCTCTCTCTCTCTCTCTCTCTCTGTCTCTCTCTTTCTCTCTCTCTCTCTCACCAGAAGTTCTTAATTACAAAGAACTACAAATTGTATAATTTATCCCTTAATGACCAGAGTTTGACAATATATAAAGTAATTGGAGACAGGGCTCTTTGAGATAAAGAGTATCTACACTTTGTTTTATTTTTGAAAAATAAAAATCATACTGTGAAAGAAATTGAAATAATTGATTGAAAAAAGGGAAACATCTCAATTGTTTGGTATTACAGACACAATTACTCTATTTAGAAATGACACACCTGTAATGCCAACAGTTTGAGAGCCTGGGGCAGGAGGATTGCAAGTTCTAGGCCAGCCTCAGCAATTTAGTGAGGTTCTAAACAACTCAGAGAGACCCTGTCTCAAAATAAATAATAGAAAGGGCTGAAGATGTGGCTCAACGCTTTAAGCACCCCTCAGTTCAATGCCTGGTATAAAAATAAAATAAAATAAAATAAAGGAAGGAAGGAGGGAAGGAAATAAAAAAGAAATGACACCAAGTAAGGCAAACAATAGCCAACTTTTGGTAAGTGTTACTATTTGCCTCTAAGCATCTTTATTTCTGACACCCTTCCTGGTGGCCACAGCCCCAACTTGAGGAATACCTAGGATGTGATGACAGCCAGCAGCCACTCAAAGGAACAAGCAGTGGCAGGCATCAACCACACACAAGAATCACCCAGGTTGGTATTAACATTGTTAGTTTTAGAAATTGCTCAGTTCAAACTGGTGTTTTTAAGTGTAATCATAAAAATTAGTTAAGGTCCCTTCCCTGCCATCTCTTGTAAAAAGCTGTTGTATTAGTTCCTTGTTGCTGCTATAACGAACTTGACAGAAACTCAAAGGCTTATGACAATATAAATTGATTATTGTTCTCAAAGTCAGAGGTCTGCCATGGGACTACTGTGCTAAAATTGAAGTGTCAGGAGAGTGGCACTAGTGATGAATCTGCTTCCTTGACTTTTCCAGCTTCTAGAAGCTTCTCACATATCCTATTTTCTTGGGAGCAATAACTAGTTGGGTCTTCCTCATATCTCATTCTCTGACATGGGTTCTCCCATATCTTTCTTTTTATTTTGAGACAGGGTCTCTTGTTCACCTCTGTCCAGCATCAACTTTTGACTCTTGTCCTATGTTTCGGGACCACTGGGCCCAGTTAGGTCATTCTATCTGCAAGCTTTACCCCAATCCTGCCATAAAACATAGTCACAGTTTGGGGGGTTAGGAAGTGGATTTTGGGGAGGCTATTATTCTGCCTAGCACAGTCATATAGCAGGTGACTTGGCAGAGAGTTTTATTCTTGAAGAAATGTGGGTAATGGGAACAAAAATGGAAAGTACCTCCCAAAGATTACAGATTACAGACCTGTTGAAACAAAACCTTTGATATTTGGCAGAGTGGAAAGGCAAGAATAAACTAAAGATAAAGGAATTAGTTCGGGGAGAGAGGGTGGGGGAGGGAACGAGCCAGCCCATGTGACTGCCTTGCCAAGTGCAGGCTTTTTAACGCATCATAATCAGAGTCACGGTTTTCAGATTTAAGCATTAGCAAATGACTCAGAGACTTCTGCTCTGTGTCTAGTTCTTCCATCTCTCCTGTCTGGGTATTCTCTGCACAAATGAGTAATTAAAGTTCCTTCTTTCCAAGGTTTGCTAAATTTTGCAATTACTCTCCCATCAAAATCTTTTCCCCTTACTTTTCAGGAAATGAGAAGAAAATGGATCTCAAAGGTAAATGTGTCCCTTTCGCTTGCCTCTACAATCAAAGTGGAAATAACTGCTATCGTTTTAGCTGATTTTCTGCCTGAAGGAATTAGACACCAGATGTGAGAAAAGACATTTTTCTTCTTGGATGCTGGCTGCAAACATTTTTTTGACATGACTCTTCTTGTGGAGTTCCTGGCCCCACTTAAAATTAGAAAAAGCAGTGGTTGTAGAAAAAAATGTGGATTACCACACTATTTACGTACTAGTTTTGGTTTTAGAGAACTTTCTCTGAATCGTTAGTGTAGAAGGAGTGCTTGTTGTGGATTGTGGTTGCATGCACCAGACAAGGGCTCTACCACTGAGTTACACCCCAGCCACACTGCAGCAGAGGAAGCCATGGGGAATGAGGAGAACGGTGGGACCCAGGAAGGAGAACAAAATAGGATCTATGCTGAGAAAGAAGGGAGGGAGCCATGAAAGGAATCAAAATACAAACCTGGCTTCCAGTTTTATGATAATTATGGGTTATCCAGAAACATCTCAGAACACTGGGGCCACAGCATTGCATTTATTCATTGGAGATCAATGATAAGCCCAAGAAAAGGGTAGCTAGATCAGAAATCAAAAAGAGGTTTGGCTGTGGAAGAAAGGCCAGGAAACGAGATAGACTAGCACCTTGGATCTTTTTCCTCACATCTAAATCCAGCTTTTTTCCGGATGGAAGTTTTTACACTTCAGATAGAATTAATTCAGCAAGCACTAGTGGAGGGCTATCTTTCTATAAAAGTTATTATCCTCTAAGGCAGGAATAAAAATTAGAGGAGCCCAGGATCTCATTGGGAGGATAAGGCATTAGCCTCTAAAATTGAATTTTTTATTGTGGAAACTTTCCCCAAAGCCCCCAAATAGAATAACACAATGAACAACATGTCCATCACCTGCAGATGACAGTATGGGGAGAGGGAGAATAGAGCCAGTGGTGTTTCATCCCCCCTCCCCCCCTCCCCCGCACTTTTGGATTAGTTTTAAGTCAATCCTAAACATTACTGGTATGTGGCATTTAAATGAAGTCATGTAGATAGAACTATAGGAGTTTAGAGAAGATGGAGGAAACAGAGAAGTGTTTATGGAAAAAGTACGAATTGCAGCTGGGTGCAGTGGTGCACGCCTATAATCTCAGTGGCTCAAGAGGCTGAGACAGGAGGGTCGAGAGTTCAAAGCCAGCCTCGGACACTTAGCGAGGCCCTAAACAACTCAGTGAGACTCTGTCTGTAAATAAAATATAAAAAAGGGCTGGGGCGGGGGGGGGACCTGGGGTTGTGGCTTAGCAGTAGAGTACTCGCCTAGCACATGTGAGGTCCTGGGTTTGGCCCTCAGCACCACATAAAAAAATAAACAAAATAAAGGTATTGTGTCCAACTACAGCAAAATAAATAAATAAATAAATATTTTTAAAAAAGGCTGGTTATGTGGTTTAGTGGTTAAGCACTCCTGAATTCAATGCCTGGTACAAAAAAAAAAAAAAAGAGTATGAATTGACCTAGTTAAACTATGAGTTTAGTTGATAAGACAAAAGTGCCTGGAGAGCATTCCTTGTAGGAATGAATAGAAGAAGAAATATTTTTTAAAAGGAATGAAGGGCT